GGCAAAATTTAATGATTGTCGTTTATTTAAAAATGCTTAGATAATTTAAACACACTTACATAATTCAATGAAGAGTTCGAATTATTCCGGGCATACGTATGGTATTGTACTTATTTTTATTTTTTAAGTGAAATTCAATTATGTTTTGGAATTTTATTTTTTTTAGGTTAAAATGTTTAGAAAATTAAATCACGAGTGTTGAAACAAAAATAATGTCAAGAAAAATTAACAAGAAACAAAATTTAGGGGTTAATCATTCTTAAACAATTTAATAAAGTTGCGGACTCAAATTATGAGTCTACAAGGTTGGAGGAAAAAAAAATTTGAGTCCTGAAAATACATGAATAGTTGTATTTTGAAGGGTGAAAATTTGAGTTTAGCCCCAACATGGTTGGAGATGGTCTTATTACCTAGACTAGAATTTTTTTCAATGGAGCCCACTCAAGGCTGATGTAGCCCATGTGCAAGGAGGTGTGATTAGGGCCCGTGCTGCTGCTACTGTAGATCTTGTCATGCCACGTGTCGCTCGCTGGTGAGGTTGCTATTGGAATCCAACGGCACAATTCAAATGGCAAAAATGGACAGAAATACCCCTAACAGCGTGAAAGAAATTAATTAATGGAACTGATGGCGGGGAGAGAGACTTGTAATTGTGAATATGCTCTACTTTACAGTATGCCGACGTAGACCGCCATTTAAATCAAGGAAAGAAACCCATCGAGCCCTATCAGCCATGACATGGAAACCATTTTGGGGGTTGGGCCCACCACGCGCATAAGTCTCACAATTTGATGAGCCAAGGATGGGAATAAAACGTTGCATCATGAGGAATTTTTCTGCAGCAATCCTAGGAATTGAAATGATAATTCTAGGGTTTAACGAGTTTACATGAATGTAGAAAGGTGAGTGGTCCTTACGGATCTTTTTGTAAAATAGTAAACCTGTCGACAGACGTGACTTTAGAACACGTCGATGTGACGAGCATCACTGTCATCAAAATTGTGGATCAGGTTTTGTATGAAACGTTGGGACTTAATCATATCATCCAACAGAAACAGAGGTTTTGTATGAAACACTGGGAATGATAATTCTTACTGAGTCGTGAATCTCGTGGTCTATATATATAACAGCTGGTGCTTTATACGTGACGAGTAAAGCATAAAGACAAGTTTATGGAGGGGTCTAGCTGTGCTTTGTTTATGTGTATGTAAGAAGAGTAAAGAAGATCGAATCCCCTTGTGGTTGCCTCCTTCCCTTAGAATAGACTATCCATCGAATCAAGAAAAAAAGAAGAGTAAAGAAAAGAGGTAAAGTACTTTTTCTATATTATATATATACAGTGTTTGAGGAGTGCATGCAGCAGAACAAGAAGAAAAAAAAAAAACAAAAGATGAGTCACTCAGGAGGAGCAATGAAGCTGATGATGGTGATGATGGCCATGGCCCTGCTCACCACAAGCCATGGCATTGGCATCCACATCAACACCAGCGTCGTCACCGGTGGCTACTCTGCCTCCCGGTGCAACGGCCTTACCGACACGGCATGCCGGATTGCACACTCGGAGTTGGACTTTGACTTGGAGTTCATGTTGGACTCAGAATTCAGCATAAGGATCCTCAAGGGTAAAGGTTCCAAACCCACTACTGTATCAAAACAACCGAGAAAGGCTGCGTCCTGCAACCGATTTGATGTAAAAAACGATCCCTGCCACGGTGAGAAAAACAAAATTCGAAAACCAGAGCAATGCAAGGAAGCCACCAATAGGGCTTGCTCCAGACATCCCCCCAACAAATAATCGGCCGCTACTACTACTACTACTACTACTACTGGTGTCTTTTGTTTCTTTCTGCTTCTTAATATTTAGTGCCCTACTCATCAGGGTCGGTTCAATTTCTGTGTACGTTTGTGTAGAAAGTGGATTCGAACTTGGGATGTTTTGTATCATTTAGAAGAATCAGTTGGTTGGTTCTTCAAATACTTGTGTGCTGTAAGCGTGTTAACCAATTTCAAGTCCATATGAATTACTCTTTCTTTTCAATGTCGGAAAAATAAAACATTACAATTTTTTGTGTATCTACAACCATACAAATCGGGTTGGGTAGAAACTACATGCGAGAAGAGAGCATTTCGGTCACCAACTTTATTATTATTATTATTATTTTAGGGAGAATCACCACTTTAATTAATAGTGAGCATTTTGTTACATGAATTTAAAAATTAAACTCATCTAACGACAATTAATGTTATGATAATGACCGTACATTTCTGTACAATGAATGCTAAAAATTAAGTGATATTTGATATTGATTAGTCTTTTTCCATGTATGATTTCTCGATTCATTAGTTTACTTGCTTAAGCAAGAGCAACGTCTCCAGAATAAATGCCTATTCCCTAATCATTTGTTCCTTATCTATGCTTTAGGATTCCACATTACTTTAGCATATTTCTTTTTTTCCTCTTTTTCGGTTACATTAGGGAGAAAGATTGGATTTTTGAACTTGGGTGTCAAGTAGGTGGGAAGGGGGAGGTCACCCCCCTGTGGTACCTCCTCTTTTTCTTCTTTTTCACTTTGTGAGACAAAAGCAACAAAAGAAAAAGCAAAAGAAAAAGCAAAAGCTAATAAGCTATCATATTGAGAACAGAACGTAGAAATAAATCAAATGGTCCATCAATTCTATATTATTCGATCTATTAGTCCAATTGTCTAATTTTTTGTTAGATTTAACAAAATTTTAAGCGTAATATGACTTTTCATAATTAACAAATAAAAATAAAGTTATAATAAATACAAAATTAGAAAAAATTGAAGAAAAAGAGAAAAAAAATCATGAGACCCAAACTCGTCGCCCCTCCCTCCGATTTCTTCTTCCCCTTAGAATAGACTATCCATCGAATCAAGAAAAAAAGAAGAGTAAAGAAAAGAGGTAAAGTACTTTTCTATATTATATACATACAGTGTTTGAGGAGTGCATGCAGCAGAAAAAGAAGAAGAAAAAAAACAAAAGATGAGTCACTCAGGAGGAGCAATGAAGCTGATGATGGTGATGATGGCCATGGTCCTGCTCACCACAAGCCATGGCATTGGCATCCACATTAACACCAGCGTCGTCACCGGTGGCTACTCCACCTTGTTAGAGTTTATGGTTTTCTTGCTGGGTTTTTGCGAATGGTTTTGTAAGAGAAGAATAGAAGAATCGGATAGATTGAGAAAAATGCTCTGCTTACACACAAAGTCTGTGTGCAAGACGTTTTGTATATATTTTGTCTGTATGTAAGAATGGATCTCAGCCATCCATCTGACCAAAAACTAAAGTCACCACATATGACTATTTTGACCTCACACTTGGCAGATATGCTCAAGTGAATACACACATAAAGTTCATCTTATTACACTAATACCAATAAGCTACAGACTTATAATTCAACACTCCCCTTTAAGTCTTGAGCTGATTTCACTCCGAGCATACTCCTGAGATAGTTGAAGCGATCCTTAGCCAAAGGTTTTGTGAAGATATCTGCTACCTGCTCTTTAGTGGGACAATACACCAAATCAATGGTTCCTTCCTGCAATGCATCCTTAATAAAATGATACCTTCTGTCAATGTGCTTGGTCTTTTGATGGAACACAGAATTCTTTGTAATAGCAATGGCAGAAGTGTTATCACAGTGAAGAGGAGTAGCTTCAGTTTGTATTTCTCCAAAATCTTCCAAAATGAACCTCAGCCATATGGCTTGAGTTGTGGCTTTTGATGCGCTTATATATTCAGCTTCTGCAGTTGAAAGAGAACACAGTTTTGCTTGACTGAAGCCCAAGAAAACACCCCACTCCCAAATGAGAATGCATATCCTGATGTACTCTTGCTGTCCTCCAATGAGCCACCCCAATCGCTGTCACAGAAGCCGATTAAACAAGCTTTCCTTCCCTTCACATACTCCAGGCCATAATCCAGAGTTCCCTTGATGTATCTGAGTACTCTTTTTGCAGTTCCATAGTGTTTATTGGTAGGGCAATGCATGAATCTTGCCAATAAACTTGCTGCATACATTATATCCGGCCTTGTAGCAGTGAGATATAGAAGACTTCCCACAATGCTTCTATACTTTTCCTCACTTGCGGATCCACTTCCATCATCTTTAGATAACTTCTCAGTAGCTACAAGAGGAGTTGTGACAGTCTTTGCTTCATTTAATCCAAACTTACTCAGTAAAGAACTTGCATACTTCTTCTGATGAATGAAGATGCTAGAGTTAGTTTGAATCACTCCCATTCCGAGGAAGTGGTGAAGAAGTCCCAAGTCTGTCATCTCATACTTCATTTTCATGTCTTCCTTGAACTCTTCCAGCATGGATTTGCAACTGCCAGTGTAGACTATATCGTCCACATAGATAGAAACAATCAAGATATCTTCTCCCCTTGCTTTTATGTACAGAGTTGGTTCACTCAAGCTCTTCTTGAAACCACACTGTGAGAAATAATTGTCAATCTCTCCATACCAAGCCCTCGGAGCTTGTTTTAGGCCATAGAGAGCCTTATGAAGCTTGTACACCTTTTTCTCCTTGCCTTCGACTACAAAACCTTCCTGCTGCTCAACATAAACCTCTTCTTGTAGAACTCCATTCAAGAAAGCCGATTTCACATCTAACTGATACAGTTTCCAGCTCTTTTGTGCAGCCAAGGCTATTAAGGTTCTAATGGTATCCAACCTAGCAACCGGTGCATAAGTCTCATTGTAGTCCAAACCAGGCTTTTGTGCATAGCCCTTTGCAACCAGCCTTGCTTTATTCTTCAACACTGTGCCATCAAGATTTAACTTGGTTTTGTAGACCCATTTAACCCCTATTACAGGTTTTTCAGTTGGTCTGTCAACAAGTGTCCATGTGCCATTTTTTTCAATCATAAACAGCTCATCCTCCATGGCTTTTAACCAAGACTTGTCTTGTTTGGCATCCTCATACTTCTCTGGATCCATAATGCACAGATTGCATTGAGCTAACACTTCATTCAGATTCCGCCACTTCAAAGGTGTATGATCAAATGCTTGATT